TCTTAGACTAGAGAAAACAGTTCTTAATGAGTTAGCTGCTTTCGCTTTTCTGTATGGTCTGGCTTTTCTGAGGAAGGCCTGTATTGGTTTTGTGATCAAGAGAGGTGAAAAACACAAGAGTATTCTGGAAATGATCCCATGAGACATTTAGGGGGGTCCACATCCACACAGCCCATCTGGCTGAGAGGCAGGGAGTAGCATGCTTGTAAACCACCGTGGTAATCCCTCTGCATTGCACCCGTCCGTGTCTGCCTGTCTTCATGGCGGGTGTCCTCTGTGAGCTCCAAAGAGAGGCTGTGAATGAGCCCTTGATTCCAGCACACGATGCCCTTTCTCCTTGTACCCTTTGGTCACTGATGCTGCTGATTCGCTTGTCCATGGTCTCCTGAAGGTTGATTATCTCTACAGCAGTTTTCAACTTTCAACCTTCCTAGTGCTGTGACCTTTAATACAGTTCCTCATGTTGTGGTGACTCCCAACCATAAAGTTATTTCATTGCTACTTCATAACTGTAGTTTTGCTACTGTTATGAATTGTAGGGTAAATACCTGGTGTGTGACTCCAAAAGGAGTCATGACCCATAGGTTGAGAACTTCTGCCCTAGAGACATGCAGACAAGCTAGTCTGTGTTCTTAGACTGCTCCTCAAATTATATGCAACTAGATTCTCTGTGACTCAGAACTGTGTGACAGTGTTTACCAGGGAGTCACTGTGGCTTGAATATTTTTCTTCCAAACTTCTGTTAAAATCTAATGAGCAGTATTGTGTTGGAGGGTGTGGCCTTTAAGAGTACTTTAGGTTATGTGGTGGCTAGTTTTTTGTCAACTTGACAAAAAGTTATCTGGGATATTAAGGGGGCCTCAGCTAAGTAGTTGCTTCCATCAGACACCACGTTTCTCTTTTGCATCTGCTTCTCAGGCCTCTCCCTCCCCTCATCCTGCACAGCCCAGCACAAGCGCCTGGGCTGGCTTCCTGTAACACCCACCACTCTCCTCTGAGGCTGGTCCCATGTAGTGTACCACAAGCACCAGGTGGATTGGAGCTAGTCCAGCTGCCTGGCCACCCCCTACAGTCAACTGCTACCACAACTGCTGGCTATTCTCCCACAGCTTCCCCTTTGCTGGCATCACTGTGATCTGATAAGACACCTGAGAATCTGTAAAGGGGGGAAATATATATATATATATATATAATTGGTTTGAAAATGGAAAACTTAAATGAAGTGATAAACTTAGCTGGGACTGACATAATATCAGTTATAATTATTATCAGTTTGGCAATTCATGTTTATCCTTCAAAAAGTGGTTTGATATTGGTGACAAATATAAAAAATTGGTGGATAAGATACAATTTTTAGAAAGACCTACTAAAAAAACTAAGAAAAATATTCACACACAGAGGAATTTAGAGCAGAACCTACCTCACCATTGCATTATGAAACTACAGAGGAGCAGCCCAAGGTTATTAGAAAACCAACCTTAATTTATTCAGTTACCATAAAAGAAAGACCACCAGAGGATAGATAGCCCCAAGGCTATGCAGCAGATAACTGGGATCCTGTAGAAGTTTTAGATTTGAAGAGATTTAAGAAAGCAATTGTTTCATATGGCATGCATTCACCCTTTGTGAAGCAGATGTTAAATTCATGGGCAACAAAATTATTCCACAAGACTGGAAAGATTTATCTACAGCAATATTGGAAGCTGGTCCTCAGTTCCAATGGAAAACATGGTGGGGAGAGGAAGCTAGGGTCACAGAACAATGAAATAGGGCTAAAGGTATGGAAATTTCCCAAGATCAGCTACTTAGTGAAGGTCAGGATAGAGAAAAATTTGCCTTCAAAATGCCTACTTATAATAATTCCCAGCCTGTTAAATGATATCAGTGGAAAATTCTTCCACAAGGGATGTTAAACAGCCACACTTTGTGTCAATATTTTGTACAACAGCCACTGGAAAAAATTCATGAACAGTTACCTCAATCTATAATTTACTATTATATGGATGATATCTTACTAGCTGATTCAGACTCAGATACCTTAGGGAAAAAATGTTTAAAGAGATAAAGAAAAATTTGCCTTGTTGGGGATTATAAATTGCTCCAAAAAAAAAAAAAGAGATTATCTTAATTACCTGGGATATAAGATAGGTCTACAAGATATACAACCACAGAAAGTACAAATAGGGAGAGATAAACTGTAACTTTTAATGATTTTCAAAAATTGCTGGGAGAGACTAACTGGCTATGACCCACAATTGGACCGACAACTCAAGAACTAAGTAATTTATTTCAAACCTTACAAGGTGATAAGGACTTAAATAGTCCAAGAAAGTTATCAGCTGAGGCTGATAGGAAATTGGTTTTAGTAGGAAAGAAATTATAGAATGCACATATGGATCATTTGGATCCAGAGTTTGATTGTATTCTGCTTATTATAGAAGGTAACTTCTACACAGTCTCCCACAGAAATATTTATGCCGAAAGAAGACAATATTTTAGAATTGATATTTTTCCCACACAGAGTAAAAAATTAAAAACCTATGTAGAAAGGTTTCTAAATTGATTCTGAAAGGAAAATTAAGACTTTGTCAATTAGCAGGAATAAACTCAGTAGAAATTGTGGTACTCTTTACTACTGCTGAAATTGACTCATTATGGACAGAAAATGAACATTGACAAAGAGCTTGCAGTAATTTTTTTGGGAATTATTAGCAGTAAATATCCCCCAAACAAGAGACTTTAGTTTATAAAAATAACTAATTTGACCTTTCCTCACATTGTATGGGGACTACCAATTTCTGGAGGTCCTACATTCTATACTAATGCAAATAAATCATGAAAGGATGGTTATAAGTTAAAAATTTTAACTAAAGTGGCTCAAAGGCACTAATCTCATAATCCTTTGGTTTTATTTTGACTGTTTAAAACTGTCTTAAGGTATAGATATATAGTATCTCAAAATTTATAAGATTATTATATATACTTAAACTTTCAGTTGTAATATTACTGGTCATACAGACTACTAACTAATTCTAGAGTAGGTTTCATCTAGCTTCCTGATTGTGATTTCAGGCTTGAGTCTGAAGCAGGTAACTAGGAATTAAGTTTGTGTGCCCCTGATGTATTTAATAGATGGTGGTCCTTTAAGTTCTCCAAGATCTGCTGTATATGACATTTAAAATGTTTAAGTTTTCTGAAGTGAATGGTGACCCTTCCTAACAACGACCTTTGAAGTCACTGACACTAAGCTGACAAACACCACCCAAAGATCAGCTTTGGACTACAAACTGCTCAGGACAATTTCACAGTGGTTAGCTAAGAAGGTCCAGCCTCATATACTATTCCAGCCAGGACTTCGGATAAGCCCTGCACATTCCCATCACATTGAAATTGTACAATAGTTAACTCTCCCAGGACTTGACCATTATCTCAATTTGCTCAGGGTCCACCAAAGATGCCATCACCACCAGACAACAGGAAGTAATTTTAAGAACATGATGCCCAAATTCCCAAAAGGTAGGATGAGTGGTCATTTGATGAATTATGGATGTTTATCAGCATGTAGGGGAGTTGGTTATTGACCTTTGTCAGGGAAAACACTAAACAAAGGAGATTAGATTCTAGAATCTTGTTCTGAAAAGAAAAAGGGGAGATACGGGAATGATAGGATAAAAGGGTAGATTATTGAGTCTACTTTTAAACTAAAAAAGCAATTACTAGCCTCAAATATTTTACATTGGTATGGATTTTTTTATATTGATACAAATTAAAGGTTATTTTGCTATTCTGTACATGCATTTCTATTCTTATTTAAGGTATTGTACCTATTCAACTCATTTGAAAATTTAACGTGAAGTTCTAGTCCTTGAAAACTATTTAGGATAATAAAGAAATACAGATTAGTAGTTAGTCATCTGTAACTATTTTATAGTCATATTAGGTATGTTTTCAAGGTCAAACAGAGATATTTTTAAATAGATGGCCTCCAAACCCTTCAGAGACCTACAGAATTTGGCATTTAAAATGTTTTAATAACATAAAGCTTTTCATGACAGTGAGACACATCTGCTCCTGGCAGCACCAATTGACTTCAAAAGAGGATGACAGACATCAAAGAATCTCCATATGGAGTTTGCTTTCATTGTGGCAAAGTTAGCCACTAGGCAAGAAACTGCCCTTCCCTCTACTGCTGACAGTATGCTGTCCAAATTGGACAAGAAGGACACAAAAGAAGGTGACTGCTAAGCTTTACCAAGGCAAAAATTCCTGCTTCACAAAAAGTCTGTCAGATGTTGTAGGCTGAAGATGGGTGTCCCAATGTTACAAAGGAACCTTGGGGTGACTGTCCAGGCAGCCAGATGTCTCTGTCATTTCTATAGATTTGGAAGTTTGCTCTGTATCTCCTGTTCATGCAGGTAATATATCCTTCTCGGGTCTCTAATGGTGTTGACTATTGGATAGTTATAGTTACAGTTTTCCTGAGTTATGATAGAAAGTAAATTAGATACAAAACTTTGGACTCACCAAGATTAGGTTAGATTATGGAGTATTTTCTCTGAATTTTCCAAATACTAATGAGCTGGACATTGTGAATGTATTTCTTACTTGATAATTGTTCTTATTGTATATAATTTTATTATGTTAGAGTTAAACATAGTAAACATGTTCCTTTGTATTTAGACAAAAAGGGGGAAATGTTCCAGGAGAATTTTTTTGCACTGCCACTCTACTGTCTCAAAAATTATATATATATGTGTGTGTGTGTGTGTGTGTGTGTGTGTGTGTGTGTGTGTGTGTGTTTTGTGTGTGTGTGTTTGTGTGTGTGTGTATATGTGTGTATGTACATGTATATATATAATATGAAAATACATATATAATATAAAACATATATACACACACATATATAATGCTTACTGTATTCTCAATACTATTATATATAATTTTTTATATAATGTTAAAATTTATTCAGTAAATATACAAATGTTCTTTGAATTACCAGTTTCCTTCTTTACAATACATTTGCTGGAAATTGATCCTAGAATGAGTTCATTCTCCCTGTTCTACTCACTGACAGCAATAGGGCCATGGTCTTCTTGGAATCAGTGCTATTCTTTGAACAGGTTGGCCTTCTGAACAAATTTTGAACAAATCTGGTCTTTTACAAAACAGCAGGGAATTATCTGAAAAAAAGAAACACTCTTTAAACAGGATACTTAAGAAAACAGCATGTTATGAAATTTAATTCTATGCTGTTTGTGTGTCTCTTTTTACAGTGTATGAGTCATGTTTACATAGTAAGATTTTGGTAAGTGGGGCTCCAGAGTTTCTATGCCAGAGGTTAAGACAACTTCCTAGAGTATAGTTAGTAAACTTACCATAGGCTATGTAGAGTGATCTCTAGCCCTGCCAATGGTCTGTGATGTTTTGGGGGGACATGTGAGGGACCTCTTTGACTAAAGATTCAACAAGATTTAACTCATTTGTGGTACTAGAGGTTTTATTTGGTGGCATAAAATATCTATTTGAGGTATTGTCTTCCACACTACATGGTGATTCCATTTAAATTTCTTTTATCTATGCATCTATTTTAGGAAGCTTTTACAATAGTAGGTTTCTATCTGGCTTTTCAAAAGGCCTGTAGTGTGGCATTTTTCCCTACCCATATTCCCTCCTTTACCCTGTCCTCTCTTCCTTCTGTTAGAATCCTGCCCTCACTCCGGCACATGCTTAGCAAGGGTTCTTGCATCTTACATCATCAACAGGCGCGGGCAACTATGTACCCGCCTTTAAAAGCTGGAAGCGGACCCCTGCTCCTCTCCCCATTCCCTCCCCCACCAGGCCTGGCTTTCCCCTCTTTCTGCGCCCCCCCCCCCGCCTTTCCTCCCTAATAAAGCTCTAAATGTACCACTGGGTTCTGTTGTGACCATGACCTTTCCATGTGGTAACCAGCGCCACCACCAGCGCTGTTTACCTTTCACCTTCTCCCCACTTAATCCTCCTATTCCAGTTTCTCCTTTATCCCTTCGTGACACTCTACCCTATTTCCCCTGCCATGGAAGACCCTTATGCCATGAACTAGCTGCCTCACCCCTGTGGTTATTCAGATTGAAACATGCATATCTAAAGCTTAAAGGCTAACATCAACATACAAGAGAAAACATGTAATATTCGTCTCTTGGGGTCTGGGTTGCCTCATTTAGGAAGATTGTTTCCAACTCCATCCATTTGCCTGCAAATTTTGTAATTTCATCTTTCTTAACAGTGGAATAATATTCCATTGTGCAATGTACCATGGCGATGATATCCTAGCAGAAACAGCTCTATAAAATTCCCCTTTCTGTAGATGCTGAATGAAAAATGAGGACATAACCACTCCAAGGTATGGTTGAGGAGAAGAAATCTATTGTAGATGTGTGGGAAAGAAAAGCCAGAGGCATCTGGAAGTTTCTAGACTGAATCAGGCCATAGCGGGAGGGAGGAGGAGAGGATAAGAAAGAGAAAGAGGGGAGAAGATCCATGAACCAAGAGGCCAAGACTACCAAGAGCCTGCAAGACCGAAATGGCTGAGTTATAGAGGGAAGAGAAGCTGGGGCAAGGGAAGTGGAAGCCCAGCTCGAGGGAGGGGGAGTTTTAGGGGGGGGGGCAGGATGAGAGTGCTGGGAGGAGCCACCAAGTGATGCTGTAGTGAGACTTTGCTTTATTGATAGGCACCTTTGCCATTTGACCTAGGTTTCTTTGAGACCTAACAGATGGCATGTTACAGTTTATAGAACCTAAACTAAGCCATTGATTACATTGACAGAGCAGGGTCATTCAACTTACCAATTGCAGACCATACCTACAGAACAATATAGCACAGCTAGATTTAATAAAATAAATTCTCCAGTTTGTACCTGATTTGACACATAGGCCAGAAGTGCCTTAAATGTTTTTTACAGAATTATTCTTGATCATTCAAAAATCAGTGGGACCTATATCTTAACTTTTTCATCTTTTAAAATGCATCCATAACACTTTTCAAGACTAGTTCAACAGCAAGGCAAAAGTCTAAGTTTAATCCTTAGCACTAGAAAAAGTTTACTTTCAAACTCTTTCTAAATTAATAATAAAAAAAAAAGCTCGAAGTCCATCAAGCCTTGCTCGCACATGCAAACACACACACACACACACACACACACATACACACACACACACACACACACTATTTGATACAATATTTAACTTAATCCTCTATTAACAACTTCACCTCCAAATAGCTGAAGAGTAGTAGAACCACCATTAACAAAGAAAACCGAGAGTTCATTGCTCTGAGGTCCTTACTTTTCCCTAAACAAAGCCAGAGCCATCAGTCTGCATCCAAAGGTGGATATTGACTTACACTGACAACCAATTCCCTGGAATCTGTAGGATAAACTGACTCAGAACAATTCTCAAAGGTTAGCAGAGATATTAGGGCAGAGGTATTGGTGACAATGAATAAAATAACCCATTGTTACTGCTCTAGTTGGCAGTGTGAATCTGAGAGAGTGGGACCTAAAAATGAGGCCAAATAAAGTCTCATGCAATAGTCAACTTTATCAGAACATCAGATAATTTATATTCTGAGGGTATTCTGAGGGCTAAGCAAGGTCAAATGAGCCAAGGCCACATGAGTTTAGGCTGTATACAGTCATGAGGACATCTCATGCTTGGAAACATCATCTGAGTAATAACCCATTCCTGTTTACTACACCTGGGAGGGGCACGGAGCACATTTCAAGAACAACCCATGTTATGGAGAAACAGAGGTCACAAGACTTTTGTCTTGTTTACTTGGAGTTTTCTCTCAAGCTCTCACAATTCTCCTCACATAGCTCCATTCTTGGTCCATGTTCTGACAACCCATCACTTAGTTTTACATTCCAGTTTGTGTTCAGGACTTGCTTGTTTCAGTTCTAGTAAACAGACCTTAGTTTAACCATTAAAATAGATCAACCACTAGGATTTAAAGATTGACTGTCTTTATTCTCCTTTATACACAAGATGGATAGACAAGCTTGATTTAGATTGAACATTTTTACTGAAAACAATAACCTCTTAATGAGATGAAGAAAAAAAATTAGAGACTGGGTGTGGGAGCCCATTCTCGGGTTCCTCATGGCTTTACCCAGCAGGTCCGAATAGAGGATGATCAGGACCACGGGCCTGAGTGCAGGTGTCTGAGATGCTCTGCACTTGGCTGTGCTGGGGGAGGAGGTCTTTTGCTCCACCCCTTGGCGTCTCTATAAAAACCCTGGACCAGAGACAGTCGGGGCCCGTTGGAATAGGTTCCAGGCCCTCTCGAGGCTATCCTTTATTTTCTATCTGTTTATCTCTGCAATATTCTCCTCAATAAATCCTTCTAATATTTCCTGCTGATCACACTCTGGAAGAAAACTCTGTGAAGCTGTGGGGGTGGTGGGTGAACGCCCCACAACTGGGGAGATAGCTCAGGGTGTAAAGTGCTTGCCATGCAAATGTGAGGAACTGAGTTCAAGTCCCCGGAACCCACACAGAGTCAAGCACAGCGGCAGGCACGTGCAATCCCTTCACTCCTACAGTGAAATGGAAGGTGGTAACAGGAGGATGTGGGGACACTCATGGGTCACCTAGCCTGACTTACACAGCTGCACAACAAGAGACTCTCTTAAACAAGGTGGTGTTGTACCCCTTTCGCAAAACCCCCAGAGACCACCAAGGAGATGCAAAAACACAAGGGTCCTTTTATTCAGATTCAACCTGGGCCACCGCGGGGTAGATGGAAGGAAATGTGGTGGCGGCCAGGAGCCCAGGTGTAGAGAGTTTTTATAGGGAAAAGCCACAAGTCAGGAATTGACAACTTGGGATTGGGTAGAAGGGATATGGCGCAAGGTGATTTTTTGAAACTATTGGTCTAGACTTCGGGTGTGAAACCACATTTGAAAACATTGGGTTAGACTTTTGGCACAGAACCACAACTTGCTGAACAGGATTATCTGGACTGCTCAGCACGATTATCTAGATATCTTCAAGGGCCATAAACCATAGACAGGATGTCTGCAGGAGGATACTGCTCTGGATCTGTTCAAGTTGTCATGACACATTCCTGAGGTCCTTCCTGAAACTGAGTACAGCAGGTGGTCTGAGATGGGGGCCCTTTCCATAAGGTAGAGCCTGTAAAGTCATATCTAGGCCTTCACAGTAGAAGATGAGGATCATCACTCAAGGTTGTCCTTTGACTTCAAAACAGGTGTCATGGCACACTTGTGCAACCATTCACACACACAATTCTACACAAACCTGTGTACATGTGAAATACACACATGTATACACACAATACAAGAAAGAGTAAAGAAAATATTGATTTGCATTTCAATTAAACTTCATAAATTGTGTTTTTTGACTTATAATTAGGGGATAGATTAGTTAATTGACAGATGAATAAATAGTGAAAGGACAATTTAAATTAGTAAGGAATGGTTTTCCATTTAAATTAGTTCCATTTAAATCTGTTCTTGCTGCAAGCTGCAGGAAAATGTAATGGAATTCAGCTACTATGAAAAAAGCTACTACTTGAAAAGGTCAAGGACTTTTCTGAAGGTCAAGCCATGTTTTAAGAAGTCTTGGTGATATTTTAGCTTTTGTATATATATTAGCAGGTTCCTGCAATCATTTTCTTGTGCTATGTATGCTTCCAAGAACTTCTAACAGTACATTTACCTGAAATTTCTCTAGCATCCTAGGCATAGCTGTGTTTCTTGTTCACATAAAGCTCAGACCCTCCTTTCTCTCATAGCCCTAATGGCATTCCAGAGTTACTGATTCAGAACAAAACGGCTTTTTGCATACCAGATGCATCCTAGCTGTGAGGCAGACTTCCCAGCTCTGTACAGAGTTACCCCACCCTGCCAGTTTATGGTGGCATAGGAAAACAGAGGCAGTTTTGTTTTAGTGACTTACAGACTCCTTTATCTAACCATCTGTATGATTGTAGTTTGAACACATTTTTGATAGACTCGTAACATTTCACCTAACCACTTATTAGAATATATTTTGAGCACATAAATTCCCTTTCTGACTTATTCCAGGCCTTATCTGACCCCACCTCCTCTATTCACTCCCCTTTTGGGTTGCAAATGAAGCTGGCTCTGGTGGCTCTGGTAGGGAGCTTGGAAGCTTTTGTTTGGTATTGTAGGAGTCAGGCTGCTGGGAGGATAGAGACTGGTCCCAGGAGAGGAACGGGAAGGACCAAGATGGAGAGAAATGAAGATGAGGATGAGGATGAGGCAAAAAGAGCTTAGCTAGAACTAGGACAGGAGGAGAAGGGACAGAGAGGAGCTAAGTATGAGAATAGAATTGAAGCTGTGTCGATAGAATTTAATCTCAGAGGAATAAAGCAAACAGACAAAAGAACCAGTGTACTTATTATTTTCCCGCAGATTACCCCCGCCATTAGTAGTGTATCTTCTAGGCCCCTGGGAGGGAAATTAAAGAGGCTGGACCTCAATAATTTCTGAAATGTTCCCTTAGCAGAAAAATGACTTAAGAGGCAAATTCTGACTGAAAGGGCAGAGACAGTGGGAGCAAATTTCAAGCTCTGATTGACCTGCTGTTTGAAAGGTTGATCCCTGAGGTAGATGAGGTAAACCAAAGGGAATACTGTGTTCAGATATGGGAGCAGATGCATAGTTTGCAAACATAAGAAGCACCCACTGTGACCCAGGACAGCAGTCTAGGGCCCTGCCCCCAGTGCTTACCTTTATCCAGGCTCATTGCCATCATCAAAGTTTACTCCTTATTTCCCAGTAAATTTATAATAATGTTCGACTAGCTTACACCCCAGAGAGCTCCTCAAATATTTTAATTTTCTAAATTACCTGCATTGGTTGCTCATTAGCCTGTACTTTAATTACTTAAACATGTAAAGAAAGTGGGGCTTCAGGAGATGCCCAGTCTGTAAATTGTTAGCTATACAGGCATGGGAACCTAGTTCAGATCACCAGACCATATATAAAAAAGCCAAGCATGAGCATGCATGCCTACAACTGCTAAAGATCATTGGCCAGCCAATCCAGCCAAATCAGTGAGCTTCAAGTTCAAGGAGAGTCACTGTCTCAAAAATTAAAAGGTGAAAAAAATGATTGACCAAAGTCATTCATCATCAACATCTGTAAACACATAAGCACTAACATTTACACATATTACTTATATACAGCAAATCTCTCTCTCTCTCTCTCTCTCTCTCTCTCTCT